AACAGTGTGATTAAAGGCAGGGTTGGTCATTTTCTCCAGATACACTTTTTAAGATTGTTGTTAAAATTGTCTCGTGCATGTAAGTGAGGGGCGTGGCTTTTGAGGGATCACAGAGGGGAGGGGGTGTAGACGGAGCACTGAGGGCATGCTACTTTCAAAATCATGCTATCTTTAGAAAATTCGCAACCCTGCCTTTAATTCCGGTAAACTATTGCTATTGAGCAATTAATCACGATAATGTTGGAATCGTTTCACAGCCCTAGGTAAAATTAAAGCCTACTTCATACAAGGATTTGAAGGTGGTTATGAAACAACAACAAAATGAAAACAAACTCTGACACACTGCACAAACAGAAGTGGTCTCAGTCTGGTTCAGTGTTATTTTGTGGCCCTACAAGGACCCTGTTTTATTCCTGTGGAAATATGGATTGTAGCAGATCAAATACAACCTGGCTATTTCTGGATTTTAAAAGGGTAACAAATCTCACATCAACAGCCGATCAATATCCTGTCACACTGTCTGCTTGCTTCTCTCCCCCTCCTCCTGTTTCTACCGTATTGACGGCAAGGGAGGGCAGCACTTTGACACTTCAGATCACCACCGACACAATGACAGTGTTTAACTGATGCCAGCTGTAGTTTCATTATATAGCCTAAAGCTGTTGGTATAACAACCCATAATAGTAACTAAAAAATAAAGCATGGTGGTTTTGATGAATCTTTGTTGTAGTTTTGGAGGTGCACATTTTCTTCAGGAGCTTGAATGTACCGTTCATGCTTAGGTAAGCATTGTTGCTGTATTTTTTCGGTGTCCAATTTGGACAGTTGTGTTAAAAGCATTTGCTTGTGGGAGTTCTAAAAGTCTTAGCTAGCAGTTTTGTGGAATACTAAAAGTTTTTTTATCTCTGTTGCCAAAAAGGTTTAGTTCAAGAATAAATAGAAAAGTGCAGAGCCAGCGGAGGAGCACTTTGTCAGCTTTATAGCTGGTGATGCCTGCAGTCATGTCATGCTCACACTTTGAAAAGTTTGTTATATTCAGAAGCCTTAAACAAGAGAGGGTATAGGAAAGGATATTCAGGAATTTGTGAAACATTTGAGAAGTGAGGGGCAACAAGATTTAAAAAATAAAAATAAAAAAATAAAAAGTTACAGAAAGAGTCGTAAAGCGAGTTACGGTTCTAATTAGAAAACGGAGAGGTAGCTAGAGAAGAGGGGTGTCAGTGAATCTTTTAACCACTCAGTTAAATATACAATGGTGAATGGACTTGAGCTTGTATAGCACTTTTCTAGTCTTCCAATTACTCAAAACGCTTTTACACTGCAGGTTGCATACCTACCCATTCACACACTGATGGCAGCAGTTGCTATGGAGTGTGTCCATCAGAAGTAACTAATCCCATTCATGCACTGCCGATGAAGCAGCATGAGCTACTTGGGACACAGTCGGACATGTGTCTGCAGGAACTGGGGCTCAAACCCCGGACCTTCTGGTTGAGTCGACCAACTCTACCACCTGAGCCACAGCCGCCCCACAAGAAAACTCCACGATGAATCTTTAAGTTACTTACTGAGTATTGAAAAGATTTTACAGAAAAGGACTCCATTTCAGTGGGTTAATTTTATTCTGTTATATAAAAATAGTTCTATATTCTAAAATGTTAACTTGTGTTTAGTTTTTTGAATTACTGAAGAAGCCATATGGCCTCACTTTTGCATTCACACTGTGCATCTCACTCTGTTTTCTCTAAACAACTGCTGAATTTCTACAGAAGGGGCAATCATTTATATGCAACCAAACATCATTACATGAAAATGAGTTTGATGGATGAGAGATGTGTTCCCAAATGGGAGGTCGGGGGTTTTTTCCTCTGTCTGTTTTGCCCCTCCATAATAAAACTCTTTGTTTTCCATGTGCAGTCACTTATTGACGAGACCAACAAAAGTAATGGAAGTGCGAGCGCACTCATCTAGAAATGAATTCGAAGGTCGCCTGTTTATTTAATTTGCAGTCTGATTGCGTTTTCACCGCCTTGTTGCTATGGTTATGCAGGCTCGGATGCATTTAGAGCAATTCTTTTCTTTGCTCGGAAAAAATTTAGCATCCCGGTTTTAGCATGCAGGGTTAGAAACAAGCCCCGACAGCTGCTCAGGATGGAGGATTTTCAGGAGCGGAAAATTACTTCATCAGTTGAGGGTTTAATGTGCTGTTATTGATTCTGCACAGTGAAGGCATAGATGAGCCAAACAAACTTTATCCAAAAGTATTTTATCCCTTAAGAAGTCAGAGCCATCTTTCTTTAACTTTTATCAAACTCATTTATGAAGTAAAATGATTGAAAGTTCAGGAGTGCTTAATCACTAAAGGCCTGTACATATTTCATTTCACGTATGGAGCGACAAGTCATTTGACGAGAGGTTATTTTGATGCATGCGCGGCATAGCATAACGAACTGCATTGAAGACTGTTCCTTTCCACACCCACGTTTACAGAAGAAAAGATGTACTCAGTGGAGGTTCTTCAAAAAGAGACACGGCTTCTTTTCCTGCTCTCTGGCTGACAGCAGTGAATAGCCTTTGTAGAGTATCCTGGTTTCAAAGGCACATGAAGGCTGCTGCCTCCCACACACACACACACACACACACACACACACACACACACCTCGACGTAGGACAAAGCAGAAGGACACTCCACACTCATTTTCCCTTCACTTTACAACTAAAGCGACAGATAACCGTCTGCCCTTGACTCAGCCGATCTAAGTTAGTTTCTTGTTTTTGCAGCATGTTAAAATGATGTTTTCTCACTGCAGATTACATTTAAGAGACATTTGCATGTGTGTGCAGCTAACAATACGCTTTTAAAGGTTGTTGTTCAACACCCACTTTGTCGAACTGAAATCAGTGCCAAATGGAATAGGGGCACTTTACCAGACTCTTTTATCACTAACCAATGGCTTCACCTGAAGCAATTAAAAGTGGGCCATTTCTCCTGGACCCAATACTTCAGCCAGACAAAAGCCGACAGGTTCCTTGGGGTGCGCTGGTGGCGCAATGGTTAGGCTGGTTGAGGCTGTCGTCTCGAGCGGGAGGCCCGGGTTCGCATCCTGCCCGTGGCCTCTCTCTGCATGTCATTCCCCACTCTCTCTCCCTGGTTTCCGACTCTATCCACTGTGCTATCTATCTGCATTAAAAGCCCAAAAATAAATCTTTAAAAAAAAAAAAAAAAAAAGCCAATTGGTTCCAATATTGTGTTGTAGCTTATAACCTTACATACTTTCATACTAATTTTCATCAACTCATCACACATCACAGATTTTCCTTGCAAATGAACTAACCCCCAATTTCCACAAAGTCCGTGAGCGCCTCGGTCTGTCAGCGCCGTTCGCTGCCACTTCAAACAGGCACACGATGAACAACAAATCCTCAGAAAGACAAAGTAACTCGTCCTTTTGCGCCTTTTTCTTTTTATTCTCGTGTGATCTGGAAGTTCTCCTGTGACGTGTGTACAGCTGCTCATGGCGACGCTCTGCTGCTCTCAGGTTCCAGAAGCAGATCCAGTGGGGGCATGTGCCGTCAGACGGAGCAAAACCGTGGCGCTGACGGACCGTGGCGCTTACAGACTATGGAAATTGTGGGTTAGAAACCATAAGAGAAAATACGGAAATCTCCCCCTTTAGATCACTGATCAGTGACCAGCCTATTTTTTCAGTTTTTTTGTAAACTGTCATAAAATCATCCAATTATCAAAAGAAATCAAGCTTTGTTATCTCGGGATAAAGACCTCAAATAATCCAGGGGGGGAGTGGAGTAAATATATTGAGAAGACGAGATAAAGTGGACAACTTCAGGGTAAAAAACAACTTAATATAATTGATAAAATGTATAGATGTATGTTCGTTTAGGGCTTCTGCATTTCAGAAACGGGGACTGGCAACACAACATAATTGGTCCCAAAACTCCACAACAAAAAAACTTCACTTTCTGCTACTGCACTTAACTTTAAGATTAGACTTGAAACGTGGGCTGCAGGATCACAACAGCTGAGTATTGTTTCTCAAGGTTCTGAGCTTGACCCTGAATTGACTTAAAAAATATGAGAGAACTTAAAAGGCTGTAAGATTTTCATGCTATTCAGCAGAACCAACAGCATGCCGGACCAGGCCTCGTGTTGTGGAGGAGTAGTGCGAATAGTGGTATGTTTCATCCTTTGTGCTGCTGATGATTTAGAGTCCTGCCATAGGTTCATGTGTGGGCGGGGCCAGGAACTCCTTATCTGGCCAGTGTGCTGTGACAGCGCAGGTTCTCCAGAGGAATCCTGTCCTGTTCTCCGCACATTTCCTTGGAGTAGACTTCTGTTACCGGGCAACCTGACAGTGACTGAATCTGATCATCTGTTCCCCGCCTCCACCCATGATGCCTTTACATTCCTCATGTTCCAGTACGCTCGTTTCGCGTCCTCCTAAATGTCAGCCACACATAAATAATCAAAGTCATGGAAGGCAGCAGCATGTTGTTTGGTTATGTTGCTGCACATTGAAACGCAGCAGTGATGTGAACAAACTAAATCAGCCTGTAATGTTTTCACAAATGGTTTTCTTGTGCAAACACTGACATTTGTTCTAATCGTTCTATAATAAATTGAATAAACACCCTAATTTGCCACTTTCTATTTGCATTTCATTATCGTGCTCATTCCCAGAAAGAAATGTTAATTTTAATTTCAATTCATTTGGAAGTCTTGCTGCTGCAGATAGGAAGAGCCCAACAGTGAATCATAATGGAGCCTAATTAGTATTAGAGTTTAAGCGTGACTGTTGCTTAATGTCTGCTCGGCTCACAAATTATTCCGCCATTAAGTCTGCAGAGTTATTTGTTGACAAAACCGAGCGAAATCGTCACCCTTGTTGCCTTAGAAGCTGCTTTAAGATGCATGTGCTTAGCAAATCTTCCACAGTTTTGAACTCAGCTTGTTTTTTTTGGGTTTTTTTGTGTCTCTGCAGAGATACAAGGCGGGGAGGTGTGATGAGATCCTGAAGTGGAAGCCCCCCAACCTGAACTCTGTGGACTTTCGCCTCAAGATCACCAAAGTCGGAGGAGAAGGGTAAGTCCTTGTTTCTGAGGAAACACTCTCCCTGTTGAATCTTAATAGCGCTCATCATTTTTGCTACACCCGGGGCTTATTCTGAGGCGTCCACACACGTGTAGTTGCTGCGTGTGTCTGTGTAACAGGGATGCTTTGAATCAAACAAATCCATTGAATCCCTCTGACATTAATCTTTTCTCTACTATGTCATCTTTTTCTCTCATTTCCTTTTTCCCTTGGGCTTTAAATTCGTCTTGTGGTAACACAAGTTCATTTCTTTCACCATGATCGCAGTAATGCGCTGTAGTATCCCAGAAATGTCTTATTCGCTGTACATTATATGCCCATGTGTGTGTAAAGAAAAAGATGCCTTTGCCCTTCCCACAAGCTCTCATTGTATGCTTGTTATACCCTGCATGTTAATTATTCAAACAAACCCATGCTTAGCCGAGCCCTCTCCCAGGTGAACATTTGAGCTCTGCAGGGAAATCACTACTGTACTAGAGAAGGTAATTAATCCCTGCAGGTCATTGCAGCTTTAAGACAGGTGTGCATTTCTGGTTTGAAATACAAAGTAGCTGTAGCATTCTGAGTTGTGCAATTTGTGTCCCTCAGCGGGTTATTTGATCTCTCCTTGGTCTGCCTTTGAATACAAAACAGTTTCACACACAAAACTGGTACCTGAAGGACATACAGTATCCATCAGAATGTAATGATCTATTTTTCTGTTCTCAGCTAGTTGACATTGTTGAATTATAGTTAAAACCTCTTGAATAAATATCAGAAATATGGAATATGGTACAGATGTTCATGGTGGCCAACTGATGATTCCTTTATAACGTTCGCAATCCCCCAGTCTCTACAAGTCCATCTCTACATTTGACATGACTCTAGGTTTCTGATCATTCAGGTACCCGCTGTGTGTAGTAAAAACCATCTATTTGGAGAGTAACAGAGGAGAACCCATTGGCTCTTTTACTTTTTTATTAAACTCTTTAATTATTTAGTTATTTGCAGCCAAGCATCCTGTAGCTTACAATCAAAATTTTGACGCTGTCTCTCAACTCCAATGCAATTCTTGCTGCTCAAGTTGAAAGTCCGTCTCTAAAACAAAGGCAGCTCACAGAAAAAACTGCTGGCTAGGTTTAGCTTAGCTTAGGCAGCCAAGATCAGGAAAAGTGCCATCTGGAATTACCTTGACAAAAACAACGAGCATAAAGCACAGTGCAAGAGACGTGGCAGTAAACTTTCACAACATAGAAATGCTAGTTTGATGATTAACCTGTTGAGCTTAAAGCACAACGAGAAAGCATTGGAAACAGACAACAGGAAGTCTTGAATAACATCATTTGCTAGCCCTGTTAATGAACATTGTTGTGAAGAAGCGAGAGCGGAGAAGATTATCGTCCTCATAACAAAAATGATGACTGGAGATACGCTCTGATTAAAACATAGAGGTGCATGTCAAATGTTTTTTTGTTTAAAAAAAAATAATGGCCCAAAATGTTAAATAAATGTCAATTTACTCGTTGATAAGAAAAATGGGAGTTCTCGAATATTAAAATAACTAACAATGTCCATCCCTACTGACCACACCAAGAGCCCTCAGAAGTGTCCTATCATTCCCAGAGGCTATATCATCGAAGGATAAAAACTAATGAGTTCCAAGATGAGTGAACCCCTGTCTTATCTCCTCAACACATCTATTAAATAACAAAGAAAAACTAACGATGGATTTCCGCATAAAAAAATCCTAGTCCCTGCAGGACGTTCCTACTGTAGGATTAATAGTGGTTTGACTTTACTTTAACGCCACCATCTTTTTGACATTGTTAGATTTTACTGATCCCTTGTTATGAAACATGAGGGCAACATCATTTCATGATTTGTCCATTTGTACATTTTGTCCCAATCCGGCCTCAGTTCTGCTTTGTGTATTAGCCTTCAAACTAATGAAAGCATTCTTACATGTTTACTGCCATCACATACGCGGTAAACATTGTATCTTTTGAACGTCAGTATTGTGAGTATAATGGTAGGCGGACATTCACGTTTAGCTTAAAGCACCACACCGTCCACAAGAAAAATCTCACAGAGATGCTGGCATACCTGGAAGTTCTTTTTTTCAGTCTGCACAGCACAAAGCATTTCTCTTTTCTCTCTGTCCTTAAGTATTGTTTGTGTGAAGGCAAACAGACCCACACCAAAGAGCTTTCTGGTCACGCTGACTCTTCCCTCTGAGAGCCAGGTGACCTTCGAGACTGTCCCAGCTTTGTAGCCGCGAGCCTGCCATCATTCAGCGGCAGCAGACTGAGGGGAGCACAGCAGGGCACGGCCACTCATTCTGCTCCAAAGCCGCCCAGCAGGCCAACTGGTCAGCTTCTTGACTCTCCCCTCTGTGTGTGGGAGAACACAGAAGGACATTGTTGCCATAAGAGTTTTTTTCCGATCGTTTCCTGAAAGATGAATTCTTGCTGGTGAACGGAGCGCTCATCAGACCATCAGGGCTGGGTGTAGGTTTCGAATCACTCTCTCGTTGCTGTCTGAGAAAGATGGGAAATGAACGTACCAAGGTAACAACTGTTCATTCATCAGCCCACACAGTTGATCCTCGAGCACGTGTTTGTGTACCACCAAGGCATACAGCCTCGCAAGTTTTTATTGCCTTTCTGAAAGAGAGCACAGAGGCAGACGGTGATTATTGCGCTGCTGGATGAGTGGAGAGGTGGAAAGGAACAAAATGGAAAGATGAAGCAGTTCCAGAAAAGGCATGCCTGTGCCCCTCCCTTGTGTGGTAATTGAACAGAGCCAAGCATTGTAAAGATTGCTTGAAACACGGATAATCTGATCCAGCATTTCAATGAGGCGATGAGTAATGGTTATATCATCAATCACCAGGTGTGTAGTGAGTCTGAAGACCAAGACAAGGAGAATGATTCAGACGGGGCTGCCTTGGATTGGTTCTCTAGAGGCCATCTTCAAGGCTTTCAGTTACTGGTGTTTCTACTCGGGGGACTCAGGTGTCATTACATCATCCAATCCATGTTCTGTGTAACGGATCCACAATGGAGACGATGAAGTCAGATGCGCTCACTTCTGACTGATGTGTAGAACCGTCGGGGTAATGCTGGCGACATGTGAACAATAAACCTGCATGATGTATGAGGAAAATGTGTGATATGCTGTAACAATGTTATGTACTGTGCTAACAATACATTTTCATATTTTGATGTGTGCAAATGTGCTGTAACTTGCAGTTCCTGTGTCTTTCTACTACTTGTCATTTTTCCCACAGTACTTGAGTGTGGCATCTTCTGAATCCATAATACACAATAAAAAAAGCTGAAGTTCTGTTCTCTTTTTCTAACACAGGCTCTTCCCTAAAGACACTCCTTACTCAACCATGTCAGCTTACCTTTCAGTCGCCACTTAATTAAACTAAGTTGATTTGAGAGTTGTTGCAGCTAGCTCTGGGGCGCCATCTGATGAGAAAAAAACAGCATCGCTTTGAGTGCAGGGCTCAGTCTAAAAGGTCGTATCGTCACATGCTAAGTATGAAGGCATGACACAAGGACATTAGTCATCATCTCTTATTATTGTATTTTTAAGTAGTCTTTCCCCTTTGTGGCTGTGGCACATGTTTCTGCGCTGTGATTTATTATGCAGTCATAAGAAAATTACACTTTTCTGTTTAATATGAAAAATGTAATTTGCAGCACTCTCCCTACATGGAGATCATTTCAGTTACAATTTTGATATTGAGTGAACAGATTAAAAACATAATGAAGACTCTCAGAAGGTCTGATGTTTTTAATATTCTATCTCTACAGAGTCAGTTTTAAGAGGCAAACTATCAGGACAGACCGTTTTTACAATCTGCACAGAATCATTTGGGTTAAAATGATGTTGGAAGGTAAGTGTGAGAAAGTGGATCTGGGATGTCGAGAGTGCGTCTACTCGTGGCTTTTTAAGCTTTCAGCTCAAACATGAAGAATTCTGCCGAACAAACATGGAGCCTGTCTTTGGACTCCGCACTCACTGAATGGATTTCTCTGTATGGAAACAAAGCTTTGTGGAGCTGGCGCCCTGATGACCCGGCTGTCTTCAGCTGGCACATTATCACAGGAACTGTGCTGCCTGAACCCCAGCAAACACATTTTGTGGAATTTATTGCCTTTTTTCCCCACTTACAGTCTCTGGCATGTGTTCATAGGGTTTATGGATCATTGTTCATGAATATTATGATTCATGTTTTGATGTGAAGTATGTCACAAAAGCTGCTTTTCTAATTTTGCATATTTTACAACTAGAGTTAGCAAGCGATCTATTAAAGGCAGGGTCGGTTATTTTCAAAAACTAACATGATTTTGAAAGCAGCATTCCCTCAGTGCTCCGTCTGCACCCACCCCCCCTCCTCTCTGTGCTCCCTCAAAAGCCACGCCCCCTCACTTACATGCTCTCTGATTGTTGGTTAGTGCATGCAAGGGGGTAGAGAACGAGCAGGGAGAGGGGGAGGCGTGATTGGTTCATTAAATGGTGGCAGACATTGCTCAAAGTTTTTACATGTTTACAACTGCTACAGATGACAGATTTTCTTTGTTCCTTTTTGCAGAGAATATGATTATAAAATTCTGTCAGGACCTAAAGACAATTTCAACCAAAGTCCTAAATAGTGTATTTGGAGAAAATGACCAACCCTGTCTTTTAAAGCCAAATCCAACTATGATTTGTAAACCTCTCAGTCTTTACATATTTAATTTGTTAATCTGTTCTTATAGGGGCAACAATAGAGCATGAAGGACAGCATTCTATGTATGTTTGAAAAATGTCTCTCCTGAATGAGCTTTTATACACAATACAATTTAAAAACTCAACAAGGAAATGCAAAAAAACAAACACAAACAATGACACAATAAAATTACCTTGAGAGTCAATAACAAGCTGCAGATATATGAGGACTGTGTGAGTCACCCCTCTTTTTAAAAGATGCTTCAACTTGAGGTAGAAAATGATCGCCTTTTGTCTTCCATTTTTTCATCATCTATTCATCCAGGAAGGAAAGAAGTCAGATTTTAAGATTGCACATCCTTATAGACAATTGTTTATATTCTTCCATTGCTTTAGAATTTGACATATTGCTCTGGCTGTTTGGTAATTCAGGTCTGATTGCACACAGTCCTCAGGCTACAGTGACATTTACCAGCGTCTTGACCGCTTCAACAACAAAAAAAAACCTGCCTGATGTCAGAGTCTATATTTATTCCTTTCATTTCTCTTGTTTTAACAGCGAACCTAACTGTTGATGTCGCAGAGTCATCTGAAGACAGCAGGACTTTTTTTTTTTTGTTACACACAGACCTCAGACCGTGAATGGCAAATTAAGTTAGCATCATGAAACAGCTTGTAAACGACAACCAAACGTCTGTTTTCATGAGGCACTCTGGAATAACCCCTCTTCAGTTTTCTCATCAAATCTCATTCTGTTTTTCAGGAAACTGCGTCATGATTGGTTTAATTGTAACGTTTATTAGTCCTGCAGGTTCAGGAAAAGTGGTCACACTGCACGTTAATGGGAGGACTGTGTCTTATACGGTCTTGGCACATGGCAGCGTCCATCGCAGCATGGCTGTAATGGCTCTCTTAATGCCTACTGCTGCTTCCTTCCTGCTTGTGCTAGCTATCATTACACAGGAGGGGGGCTGGTGGGAGATGGGTGGATGTTGTTCGGATTTCAGCTCCATTTGAAATCTCTAAACTTGGTGCGTCAGCTTCACTATTTTTTATTCCAGTCCTTTAAATTATTAAACAAATGAAAGCGGTCGTAAACTTATTCTCGGGCACACAATCGCACAGATTTAGAGTCTTGAATTATCAAAAGGCACGTGCGGGTGTTCTTTTTGTGGAGGGAGGCTACGGAGCGTTGTGTGACTAAGACATCTGTTGGGTGTGATCACTGGGATGAGACACAAGCACTGCACAGATACTCGCAGGGATTCTGTACATATGAAGCCCAGTACAGTCTGAATTGAGCTGGCTCACAGTCAGCTCACAGATGGGGCTGCATTAGTGCGTACCCCTCCTGTCCCTGTCTCTGTATATGTTCCACATATCTATTACTGCCTCAAACGACTCATGAGCGTCGCCCATACTGTGCTTTTCTCTTTTAAGTTTAGAAACGTCAAGCTGTGCAGGGAGACAGAAGGGCTCATGGAGGTGTAATCTCACTTCTCCACTGCTCTGTTACTAGCTGGAAAAACTGGAGCGAGCGGCGTAGTGATTTCTTTGCTCCGTCGTGTTTTTGTTTTTTTTACCCAGATTATGCTTGTGTCGAGATCCCTCACCGAGGGTGTTGCGGGTGTTAACCATGATCTTTTTTGTCTTTCCAGGCTGCTTCCACAGACTGTCGGTTTGCTCTACGTCGGCAACTATGACAGGCCCTTTGCGAACATGAAGGTGAGAAAACAAATGTGTTGTTTGGTTTAATTCATCCTTGTGCCAACACACCAAAGCCCCCCCCCCCCCGCTCTGCGCTCTTCCAGTTTGGCTTTCACACGTCATGAGATTGGAGTTTGGTTGATATCAGCTGAATGCCAGGAATAGAATGACGGCACAAAATGTTTGGCAAAGTTGGTCCCTTCATCTGCTACTATTACATGAAGAATTGGAGCAGTTTTAAAGATGTTCACTTTAGTTGTTTTGATCGCCATTTAAACTCTGGAAATCTGCCATACGTACTTCCTTTACTACACATAATCTAACCCTCTTTAAAAAAAGAGTTTCCTATTTAGATTCTGCTTGAATTCAAATTCAGCACAATCCTCAGAACATGAAGTGTCAGGATAACAAGCACAAAACACCCATTCCATCAATGCGTCATACTCACCACACCTTTTCTCTCAGTGGATCTTTTTAAAAGAAATCCTGTTTTTTTTGTTCTCTTCTTCGTTTCAGTTCTTTCTGTTAAGTGTAAAGCTGCTCGACACTGAGACTGCAGCCATGTTTCACATGTTATATTGTCTTGAGCTGATGCTACACCTTTCACTGGACACATGACATGTGTAGGATGTTTTCTTTGCCTCTAAGGATTTAGGATGTACTTCTTTCAAGGATATCCCCGGGGCTTATTGTCTGTGAACACACAGTGTTGTGTTTTATGGAATACGACTCTCTTTATGATTATTTGACCTTACAGCAAAACCGGCTCGATCTGCGTACATATATGTACATAAATACACTCTTTCATAACAGAGGTCTCATCCCCAGTGTAGCTTTGAAACATATAATTGATGAAAGCACTGAGTGCTGACATTTTTCTAGCATTGAAGTGCATTATTCTCTCTGCTATATACCTCACTGTTGTTGTTTGTTACCAACACATGACAGCTAAGATGAAACAAGTTGATATTCAGGGACTGGAATGCTCTTCATTATACAATACTGCATTGTAGACAAAATGAGATCTGGTATATTGCTACTGGAAGCAGAACAAATGTCTTTTTAAGGAGCTAAACTATTGGAATATTGTAAACTAGTCTCAGGTGGAGACACATTAAGGAGATAATACATTCATTTGTCCTTTGGTTTAATTTGGATATAGATTTCCAAAATGCTATTACACAAAATGGTAAAGCACCTTGTTTGACTCGATGCCTCTCAGTATGTATAGTCCCTTCAGTAGTCACTGTTCCATTTTAGCGACACAGTGAGTGACTCTTCCCCCTTCAGGATTGTCACCATTGTCCCAGTCTTCATGTATCAGCCTTGGGCTCTGCGTCTAAACAAAGTCTCTGTTTACCGTTCGGTCCCTGAGCTCCTCTCAGGGAGACAGAGCAAAAGCTGCAGCCCTCCGGTCACCTTCTGTCTGCTTTCAGGCTTCTATTTCTGTTGTGAGATGTTATTTACAGTCAGTCTATGTGTGAATATGCTGAAAGAATGCTGATAACATGCCAGCACAGGACATGAGGACTTGTCATTTCAGCTGCCTGAATAATGCTCCTGATAAAGCTGACATGTAGTGACACCTCTGCACAGCCTGTGTCTGTGTTTGTTTGGTTGTTGGATGCCTGCAGTGCAACACCACAGACTATTGCTAAGATTGCACTCCTCAAACATGTCAGTAAGACCATTAGGTACAATCTGAAACACATCCAGGAGCTAGCTCGTTTAAAAGCAGTGACTGCTGCAAACAGAAAACTTCTTTTGGAATTAGAAAAAAATGTTTGAAACTTTGTGAAAACCTGTCATATCGGTACACTTACTTTCATTTGGAAGAATAATTAGGTGTATTATTCCTCATACAGAAGCGCCCATCAGGGGTTCACTTGTATTCAGGAAGGAGCTTTCATAACAATTCCTCAGCTACTGTTGTCGTCGTGTCACCAAACCTCGAGTCTCAGACGAGTCGCGAGTCACCAAAGAAGAATCCGAGTCAAGTCTGAGTCCTTAACACGGAGTCTGAGCTGATCCAAGATAATCCTCAGTCCTCCATTTAGCTCATTAATTAGTTAATTTATTTAACAATGCACGGTGCTCCTGAGCTGAGTATTAACATGATCTAAGTTGTCATGTTTATAATGTACCTAGATCTTAGAGGGTGTGACATTGTTATAACACAGAGCCAAATTACCATTAAATAATTATAGATTATGTTGAGCAGTGAAAGCTTTCTTTCTTTATTATAAATGCGTCCTTGTCACTGCAGTGACACATTTAAGCAGCAAAGCTAAAACCTCTTTTAAACCTTTCTAAGTTGACAGGATGGAGGAAACTCTCCAGAGAGGACTGATCAGCATCTAAAATAACAGCTCTGATGGAGATCAGTAGGATTTATAAATAGGACAGCTGTTTCACCCCAAACTATTTCAATCTGTGAAGCTCCTCTTGAGTGTTTAGGACCTTTTTGGATTTGTAGAAATAGAATTTAATTCACTTGATTCTGTCGGATCCTTTCGGTGTGTCTGGACATTTAAATAATGAATGAAGTTGCAGCGTTTGTGTCGTGCAACCCTCTTTGGGAGCCTCACTGATCATTTCTGCCGCAGTGGGATCACTGCAGGTGCCTAATGAACTCAAAAATACACGGAATCCTCTCGCTATTATTCAGAATATAATGACGCCGTTTGCCCAATCCACATACACAACACATTTACCCCTTTGGCAGAAAAGCAATTTTGCCCTAAATGTGTCCTAACCCCTACTAGACTAAGCCCACCAGCTGCTGCAGCTTCATATCTACTCAACAGATGTTTGCCCCATTTCAGACTGCTTTATTCGCAAAAGTGCCATAGCTAAGCTCAGCCACCATCTTGGTTTTGTTCATTCATATTGATTCCAGGACGGTGTAATATCGGTGTCTGTGAATTCACATTGTGAAACTCGACACAGTGGGAGCTCCACATAGACACACAGTCAGACACCCGCACGTGCCTTTTGATAGTCCCTCATTACGCCTCCACTGCATTCAGATTGAAGGCGAAACGTCACAGGGGGGGGGGGGGACATATCGCGGCTTGAAACTGTACTCTGAATTCGGCTAGTGAGATTAAGATCCATCTTTTAATCTAACTTGTTAAACTTTGAGATCTCATTCTTTCTGTTTTATCTCCCATTAAGGGGTACAACAGCTAATCCTGCTGAAATATCCGTTAGTTCACAAGTCTGATTGCTCCTGTTTGTTGCCTTATTGCACATGAAGCCATTTGTCCTCTTCACAGATCTCAGCAGCTTGTGCAATGGCTGAACAGACAGCCAGAGTTAGAGACATAAATCAGCAAGTTGTGCTGAACCACTGGTTACCTCTGATTCACATGCTGCTTCAGAATGCAGGAGGAGTTCTCAGTCCCTCCAGGTCTGAACATTTAGAAAAGATACAGTAAGCTAAAGCCTGGGAGTAGTAATTGCTATTGATTCCGTATTGAGGTTTCTTTTCCCTGCTTCATGGAGTCCGCTCCCTTTATAGACCTACATGTGGTCTGATAGTATGGCTCATTAATCATCATAATATGAATGACGTGACTGATCAAGTCACCGGAGACGGAGATAAGAGCATCTTTCTGTCAAATAACGGCTGCTTCTATGAAGCGCTGAGAGTTTGTCAGTGTGTGTGTGTGTGTGTGTGTGTGTGTGTGTGTGTGTGTCACCGGTAGAGTACTGAAACAGTTTTTTCCATCAATAATTTGAACGTCTCTATATGCATCACGAGACGAGTTGGAACAAGAACTTCGAATCAAATCAAGAGTCAAGCTTTCTTCTGTAAACTCAATATTGGAAAAGTGTTTTTTGATTTGATTCAGATTTATTTCTTGCCTTCAGCTTTTTGTAAACGACATGGAATGTGAGCTTATGAAGCATGAATTATGTCAAGGTAATTGAATGCACTTCCACCAGAAAATTATCAATCACATAACAAAACAACAACAACAACAAAAAACACATCAATTATAAGTTTGAGAGGTGAAAACACACCGGTTTCAGTACTTTTTCTCTTCTCGAGTCTCCCCCCCTACACACACACACACACACATTATTAGCTTGTTTTCCTCCTCTTAGATTTCCTCACATCTGACACCACAGTCAATCTGGAAATGTGCAATAATAACGGGTATTAAACAAATTGACCAGACGCCCGACGCAGTCTTTATATAATAGGTTTATGAGGAGTCGTTAGTCGCTGGACTCCTGTTAGTTTCTTCTCTGATAAATTGCCCCTTATAATGACATCATCAATAAAAGAATATGTGAGTTGAGTAGTTTTTCCATATACAGTATATGAGTGTACAGCAGACATCAGATTTATTTAATTCAACAGCATAGTAAGGACTGTACAGCAGCTTCTTCCTTGTTTCCTCCCAGGGCGCGTTTGCTGGAGTTCATAGTTTGCATCTTATATCCTCTCCTCACTTACATATTCTTTCATCTATTTCCTCGATATTAAAATGGACCTCAGTGCTACGATGTCGCAGACCTGCAGACTGAGTTCTGATTATGTCTGGAATAAAACAAAGACGGGGTCACTTAGAGCGCCATGTCGCACAGAACAAAATACTATTCAAGGATATTAAAAACGTTGAATCTGTGCTCATCCCTGACGCCATCTCTATAAAAATTCCTTCGAGTGATGAACAGTAGAGCAATGTGTGAGTTCAACAGCCCTTGCAGATACAAGTATTTGATAGGAAAGCAAAGGGGGAGGGGAGTTTATATGTTGTGCACAGACTGTGAAAAGGTCAGATGCCATAAACTCCCAACAGTCTGTAGGTGTTTACTCTCCTTAATGTCATGCTGGTTTCCTGCTTCCCAGTGATGAAAACTCTCGGTCCTGTTCTACCAGACTCAAGATGAGTTTATGTGTTGATTCTAGGATGTGACTTTAGGAATAGTCCAGCATTTTATGGTATTGTACCTACAAATGTAAACCAAAGTCAGGTAGGGGAATTTATCTTTCAACTCATCACTGTCCCTTTACCTTAATTACACTTATGTTCTGGTTATGTTCTGCCTATCTTTCCTCTTTATTTCAAGCTCTGGCTGTGACAAATCAAAATAAGTTAAGGCTCTAGTTGTAGACTGCAGTTGTTTTTTTTGTTTTTTTTATGTCATATAGTCGACATCCAGACAAGCCATTGTTACATGTGAAGAGAGCAGAAGGCTTAAAACTGAATCATTTCTGGCAAAAGAAAATTGAAATGTCTGGCAGTACTGCTTTCTTATCTTGTTAGCCTCATACATCAGTGCTACACTGGCTGATAAAGTCCTCAACGTCCCTGAAAACTGGAGGCACAAGTGTGCCGCCCATAATGTGGCAGATTTGGACGGATTAGGCACCGAGTGGGGATGAGTAAAGACTGCCAACATGTCACCCTTCACCAGCAGGGAGAGGCCCCGCCCCTCTGTAGCAGCTCGCCCTGTCTGCCTACACTGCCCGTCACCGCTTTCTTGCAGCTTTCTGCGTCGAGCCAAGAGATTGTGTCGCTCACTTAGATCATCAGCCGTCCCTCTCCCAGTAGAAACTGTTTGATTTACAGTAAGTCATAATCATTCACGTAGTGTTTTCAAATGGAAATCAGAGGCAAATGTTTTTGAAATCACAACGACGACTAAACGGGCGTGTTGGGAAGTTGTGATTAGTCCTCCTTCCTCTCACACTTTCTTTTGCTTCCCGTGTGATCTTGATCCCCGCTGTGAGCCCAGACGCCCCACACTCCAGGGATCATACAAGCCCTCACTTTGTACTTTTCGCCAAAACACCGGTGCTTTCCTGGCAGCAGTGGTCACTGTCTGACCTTAGCTTGAGGTCAGCTTTTCTGTCTTTAAAGCCTCTTGCCCAGACATCCTGAAATATGACAAAGGAAAAAAATGTCTTTGTGAATACTCTTGTTGCTGTTTTGTTCTCTCCTTATAACCAACCGTTGCACTTGATTTTTCAGCTGCACTTCTTGCTCCTCAGACAGCCCTAGGATTTGCATTTTTCCAAGTCTTAAGAATCCTCTCAGCGAGATTCAGCCCCTCGACAAATAAACAACAGATGCTCAAATGTCTTCTTTGACTCATGCTTAATCCTCACTATCTTGTGCCATTTTCATCCGCTTCAGCTGTGTTTGAGTGTGCTCCGTGTGCAGTTTGTTTTATTTTCAAAACAGAGTATGATGTAACAAGTCAGTGATCCCGTGTCGATCAGTAGGAGGAGCGGGAACTGTTGCTACTGCTTTGTTGAACGCTTCATGAATCTTAAAATCTGCTCTAACCTAGAAAGAAAAACAGACGTCAGACAGTTCAAAGAAATAAGCACTCTGTATCTACAAATTCTCGTTGTTATGGTTGGGTTTTACAAAAAGCATCTACATCTTTCCTACAATGACATGGTTGTTGTGTAGATTAGATTGAGTAAGGGTCTGTCCTTCCAAAAGCTCACTATTCAGAGCGGTTTAGCACACCTTGCCTTCCAGAATCATCCTGTACTTTACAAAGTGTACACCTGGATGGGCAGCTCCTTGATTCTTTAATCTTGCATTTAAAACTGCAACATGTGCTGCAGACCGAGAGTTTTGAAACCAATGAAGCACATTCTGCTGGAAAGACTCTGGAATTTTTTTGATTTTGGATCAACACAAGAATTGTATTATGTGTTCCATTAAAGAAAGCTCAGGTATCAGCAGAGCAGCACGGTGGTGCAGTAGTTAGCACTGTTGCCTCTCTGCGAGGAGGTTCCTGGTTTGAATCCCTGTGGGACACGGCTTCGCTGTGTGGAATTAGCATATTCTCCCTTTGCATGCGTGGGCTCCACCCAGGTTCTGCGGCTTCCTCCCACAGTCCCAAGACATGCTTGTTAGGTTAATTGGTGACTCTACATTGCCCGTAGATTGTCTGTCTCTATATGTCAGCCCAGTCAAGGGTGTACCCCGCCTGTCAACCAATGACAGCTGAGAACAACTCCAGCCCCCCTCGATCAGAAATGGGAAAAAGTGAGATTAGCATCAGGATATTTAAACTTTAATATCTGCTGAAATTCATGGATTTTTTTAAACTACATAATCCATTTGTTACGTTTTTTGTAATGAGGTGAATCATGAGGGGAAAGTCATTACATTAGATGAGTTTCTTAGAGATGAATGGGTTTGAAACGGTGACTTTTCACTTCCAGTTGTTCCCTTGATGATGACATTTTGCAATTGTCAGAGTAACCCAGTGTTGTTTTTTTTTTTTTTCCCCCTGTCTCCATTAAACAAGGGGAATATGTGAACCAGCGAATATATCTGCTGCAGTCAAAAACTACAGCTCATTATAGCTTACGTTTCACTTTTATGTACTACATTTATTGCTTTATGTGCTGCCCTCCAAGGCTGCCTGAAGCTTCACTTTGCCTCTTAACTGCTGCTCAAAGTATCCTGTGGTAAGGAAAGTAGTAACAGCAGCAGTGAAGACGATGATTTGCAGCATATTCATGACATGTTTGATAAACAACATGGCAGCTACACGTGCCAATCATTGGGAGCCATTGTTATTCATGAATGCAGCAGCATGTCTCTAAGCAACTCCTTATAATGGTGAGGCTCCACACGAGAGGGAGAAGGCGACACTGTAGTAGAACAGACTGTCACAGCCTCTGAATGTGGCTGAATACATTCCAGGGTTTGTAATATTCACAGACAAAGATGGCAGCAGAAGACAACAAAATTACACTTTCATGTCATTCACTGTCTGTGATGAAAGTTTTTTGTTAAAAAACTGTCCTTTCATTGTGTTTGTGTGCAGGCAACTAAAGAGCTGAAACAGTACGACAACAAGATCATCGAGTGCACCTTTGCCAGTAACACCTGGGTGTTCATGAGGCAGAGGGTGGACAAGAGCTTCCCCAACTCCTACGACACGGCCATGGGTGAGTGTCTGTCCTTCTCTGCCCATTTGTATTCCATACCAGGACCCGTCGACACTTTAATTTCACCAACAGATTCTCTTGTGGGAGCTTCTTTTTTTTTTTAGCATCGTGCACTTTACAAATGAATATGCATTTCCATCCACCAACATTATTTCATGATGAGGAGTTAGTTGGTCAAGATGGTCAAGAGCTGCTGGCACTCAGTTTCCAGTTGGGTGCCATTTAACAGCTGCAGAAGAAGATGGATTTGCAACATGAATACATATCGCATCCACTGCTCATCATGCCTGGTTTTAAGCCACAGCTGGCAGCTATTTCTTTTCGAGAAAAAGCTCCATTAAACCCTCTGTAAACTGCATACCCTGCGTTGAACAGCTGAAGAGGTCAGAGTTAGCAGATAGCTGGTAAACATTGCTCGGGCAATTATCAGCTTAGGACAGATCTTTTTCCCCGAGTTGAGTACTGTTAAGTCTTGCATTGGTCAGGTGGTTCAAAACGTGAACTCCTAAATGAATGTTTAAGTTGTCAGCAAGTTGGTAAGTAAGAAACTCATTGCTAAATATTTAATCAGGTCTACTTTACAAGATAAAGAGAAATGTTTGTGCCACTGTTCCAAGCAGAAAAAACCATCAATCTACTAAAAAATTGCCAAAAATTTTGCCAAAGCCATGCAGGTTTAAGAGACGAGCTGCAGTAACACCTTCATGCTAATGTGCAGCAAAAAAAATGTTCTGATGTGAACACAACATTTTAGGTTTTATCACCTCAAATACGTTTCTTTCTAAAGTTTTTGTCTGATATTGATGTACAGAAATGCTTGGTCTTTTCAAAGTAATGGTATTAAGGTTTTGTATTAGCTGAGCTGTATTCCGTCTTCAAACCAAAGGTAATAGTCTGAGTGTCTCAGGTCAATGGAAGAAGAATGTTCATTCTTACCTCTTTAAAAGGCAGAGTGAGTGAGACTGAAAAGTTGACCCCAGTTATAAACCCCTTTCCTAAGTGCTGACTTTATAATCCTTTATAAGTTTGAACATAAATGTTCAAATTGCAAAGCAGTAAAAACAAGAAGCACAAGCGAGAGAAAGCACATTTTAAAGAGTGAATTGAATCGATAGAGGAAGATAGATAAGGTCCTGAATTATTGAGCTTTAGATCCTCAGGCTCAACACAAAAGCACCTTTTATCTTACATGAAGACAGATAGCAGTCTGTTCCTCCTCAGGCTGCTAACATAAAACATTTCTATGTAGAGAACAGTGTGTTTACACGCACAACACAACTTAGGCTTGTTGTTTCAGTTTGTTTGTGAGTAGAAATCAGAACACACTTGTAGGCTGTGTTGATTGTGGTGTGATCATGTATTTAAAGGTTTTTTTGCATTCATTGAAATCACCATATAATGCATATCATCAAACGGAAAAGACTTAAAACCAGGATACTGATGTGCTTTGAAACAGGCTTGTGGTTAAGTTTTTAGAAATCAATCAAATTGAGCTGTATTGGTTTCCGTTGGTTGACAAGTGTACATTTCACTTCCATGTTTAGGAACAAGTTTGGCCTGTGCTGCAAAACTTGACAAATCAAATAATGCTAACATTAGTCATAATTAGTTGGGTCCCTAGTTTAATCAGAGACTGTATAAAAAGCTGGACAACATGACAGATCCCCAAAAGTGAAGCAAAAATACAAACATACCCACTACTGACTGGCTGCAGTATAGGTCATAAAGCCTGCATCCCCAATGTTAACAGATGGTACATGTGTCAAACTACAAACATCATCATGTGTTTTTCTCAAAGATGGATTCTGTCTTCATAGTTATCTCATATCTTTCTGATTAACAGTTGACTTGAACGTTCATTCTGAGAAGTTAGATTTAAATTAGTTATTTGATGCTATTAAAGGGGTGTAATGGCGTGATTGACAGCTCTGTTAACAAACGCAGCTCCTGCAGCACTGTGTGCACCAGATTAGCAGAGTAGAGGAGGAATGGCAACAGGAAGCGTAACACACTCTAACACATTAGTCATTGAACTTTCTATGATGCTGACTATCTGCTTCAAACACAAGCGTCGACCTGAGGAATCTTTGCCATTTTAAAGGGAAGATAAATGTGTGTTTTGGTTAGCAGAAGGGGTGGGACACTAATACCATTGCTCCACCAGCAGATCACTGCTGCAAAGACTCTGGCTCCAAAGAACCAATATGTCAGCGCCAGTCGCTTCATCTTTGTGCAGCAAGATGAGTTTGAGACGTGTTGTCCATTTTTATATACAGTCAATGGTTCTTACACAATAGAGGAATACTGTCCTGTTATCATTGAAGTCCTGCACATGGATTTATCTTTCACCAGCATTTACCCCCCAAAATGATCTCATTAACAAACGATGTGTAAATGCTAAACTCTCTCAGAAATGGTTTCTTCAAGAGCTAATTTCTGCTGCTTACTTAAAGTAAACAGTAAACACACAGTTTACTCTAGTCATGCAATGATTTGCTTGTTGTTATTTGTCTTTAAAAAGCCGACAAGATCTTGCTTATGTTGCTTAGGTGAAAGAAAATACAAAAGAACTGCCTGTCATCATGTCTGTTGTAACTTCATTCTTCCTTTTCTTGTTTGACTCTCTCTTCCCAGCTGTGTGTAAAAGCATCCAGGAGCCCGTCACGAAGGCAATCCTCCTGGAGTACGTGGACCGCTGTGCCCAGGCAGTCCAAGCACAGAACCGGAAACACCCACCAGACCCAGACTCTGAGCTAATGCCCCTCCCCCTCCAAAGAGACCCAACAGGCCTTAGCCCACAGCGGGGCTTTCCGGACTGCTTTACAGTCATTATGTGCATCTACATCACCAGCCACATCAGCACCAAACAGAAAAAAGAAGACATATCAAGGCTCTCTACCCTCAGCACATTGTCTTCATCCTCCTGCCCATGTAAGGAGATCAGAAACCTTTGATAGACTGAATCACCGTCATTCATTTACCTTGTAGACTCGTTTGTAGCTTTAACTGCTGGTGTTCTTATTAAAATGAAAGACATGATGCTTAGTTTATTTTTGTTTGGATTTCCTATTTATCTTTTTTTAAAGTCTGAGCTAATTGGTATGTATCAACAGGGATGTTGTTATGGCTGTGGATAACACCTGGCGATGACTACCTTGTTTATGCTTTGTCGACTAGTTCCTTTATTTGTACTGAAGGAAGAGTAAACATCATAAAAGCTCAGTCTGCTGTCTCAATGCATTTCAATCAGGAAGCAACACTTAGTAAGAGTTTAGATCATCAGAGAGGATCTCATTTAGAGGAACACACAAATTAAAGAGGGTTTGTTTTTACAGAATCATGTACAACTCTTGAAAATCTGTCAGGGTCTTTCTCTTTTTTTTAATCTCCAGTCAGATAAAAATGAGATCTCAGCTCTTTGTTTCATAAGCTTTTGTCCAAAGGAAGCCCATCTGTGTGGACTTTTGTTTTAAAAGGCCACATGTGTGGGCAGGGAGATGACAACATGATTACACAGCCTCAACAAAACTAACTACAAAAGAGGACAAACAGAGAAATCAGGCTACAGATGGGTGACAAGCTCACATTAAGCACCACAGAGAGAAAGGTGGAAAACTGTTTTATTTCTTTGAGCTCCAGCAGAGGGATTAAGTCACTCATATCTAACATCTGTTCATATTTCAAGCAAAGAGATATTCAGAGGTAGGAAGATCTGAGGCTACGTCTGTTTCATCCACACTGGTCACCAGATATGAAACGCTTTTTCATGGCAGCTGGCTTCAGAGGACGGTGATACACTTCACCAAAGCTACGGTTGGTTGGTTAGTCTCAAAATGGAGATAACTCGAGTCAATAATCAAAAATGAAATCTGAGATGTAGGAACTGGAACCGCCATAGATAATACCACAATATGTATAGAGATTCAAATTTAACTCAGGTTCAGATGCACTTAAATATTAAACATTTGTGGACTTACATTTTATAAATATAAAAAAAACTATTTTTTATATCCAGAGAGTACACCTGTATTTAAGCCTCTTTTTACAATGCTTTTATTCTGGAATTCCTTTAGCTCGTAAAACATCTGTTTCTATTTATTTGGCCCGATCAGTATGAGAACAAATGCTAAAGTTGCACCTCTATGCTAACTGCTAACTATTGCACCTGACACATTGTGAGTTCAATAGCAACATTTCATTACAGATGAGCTCAGTGTGCTTTACATTGAGGTTAAAAACAAAATCAAAACACAGCATACACATAAGTAAAAGTGTTTCCACAGTCATTAATAAGATACAGAAATCTAATCAAAGCACACATCAGTTACCACAAAAGTGATCACACACACACACACACACAAAACTTAACTATTCATATGCTTTGGAGAACAGAGGTTTTGAGTGTTTCTTTAAAAGCAGACACAGTCGTGATGGACCTCGGGTCAGCAGGGGGTTTGTTCCACAGTAACTACAGGCTGACTTCAACATACTGTTAAAGGCTGCACTACTCATGAGCATGAGCCATTGTTCAGGGAGATGTCAATCAAAATGTTCGGCCACGCCCCCACACAGTTTCAAGAAATTCTCTTATCATCTAAATGAGCTGTTTTTGAAGTGGTGTGTTATAGTTGCATGATGTTCACTCTTATCGGTTTTTGTGGATAATTAATGAGCTATTCATGTCAAGCTTTACTCTCCACTGGCATTAAAACACGTGAGACAACACACACACAGGATCATAACAGAGCAGCCTCTACCTGGCTTATCAGTCATCCCACTGCTGATATCATTCAGCTTACCGCAGTTTAAAAAGCCTTATCTGTGAAATCTGCAGCCTCCAGACAAACAAATATTTATCTACGGCTCCTGGCAGAAATTTGAGGATGAAAAAACAACAAAAAACGCTCGCTCCATCATCTGACAATAAAAGAAAATGTGTCCACTCTGCTGCTCGATCAAGCTGCTGCTGCTGTCGGAGGTGAAGTGTTGCTCCTGTGCCGGTCTCCCCCCCCGAGCTGTTCAACACGCCTTACGGTTGACTTCTGACCTCCATCTGGAGGGCAAGATGATGAAACAGCATTCCCATCAGATTTTTTTAATCACACTCATCATTGCACTTTTATTTAAATCTCACAGGAGAAACCTTGTTGCCAGGGAGCATTTGATTTGTTTCTCATCATGTTGCCCACGTTGTTGCCGGTTGCTAGGAGGGTTGCCCATCTGCACCGTTTATCACCCACTGTAGAAATGATTTCGTCGGCAGCTTTCACATGCGACGCATTAGAAGCACGAGCACGACTGCTGCTTTGTTTGGTGCGGATTCTTTTTGTAATCAAAGCAAAAATAATGTCTCCATCAGTATAAATGAATTATTACATGAGGGAGTATCTGTCTGGAACAAAGTGGGGTTACTGTATGCTCCAGAACTGAGTCCATATACGGGGTATATTTCTGTTTCTCTATGACCAAAAGTGTGTGTTTCAGAGCAGTAGTTCAAGTTTGTTTAAAACCTGTGTTCCTGCTCTGCTGTGTCTCATTTTGAGGTATCACATTTGAGTGACACAAATGGTAATTCATGCCATGTGGTGAGTCTACATCAGAATTCAGGGAACAAATGTGAGTTAGTGGAGTAAAAAAAGAGTGTTACAAATCCAGCCTGCATGTGTGTGTGCATGTGTTATTTTAGTTCCTATCTGCTGGTGCCGGAGGCGACTGTTCTCCTTACAGCACAGGTAGATGAGCTGTATACCCAGGGCTCTCTACCCTCTGGCTGGCTGCTTCCTCATCAAAGCCGCGCTCACCTTTTGGTCACAAGGTTTCTGCTATGGAGACATCGCAACTCTCATGCAGCAGGTGAATAATCCACAGCAGCACACACATTTCTCTTCTAGTATATACAGTGCACTTCAATTCATCCATCATCTTTGCAAAACAGGCTACAAAACTGCCTTTTTTCTTTCATATCTGAAACCTGTTTATTCCAAACCCCCTTGGCAGTATTTTTTATTTTTTATTTGCTGGGATTTCATGCATCACCTTTTGTAACATCGCCAATGTGGAAGCTGAAAAAAAGGAACACATGGAAAGGAACATCAATAATGTGTTTTTTCTTGTCCTGCGTTTGTGCCCCCGAGTGCAGAAGAAATGAACGGGGGTATCGGAGTGGGGGGGGGAGGCCTGTATGTGACTGTATGGATCAGGAAATGTAAACGCTCTCTGTGTATATGCATGAGCACAGGTGGTTCAGCGAACATTATGTCCTTCCTCCATCCTCTCTCTTTCGGCTCAGGTGTTTGGAGGCTGGAAGCCGCCGAGCTCCTCGTTGATATTAAATCAGCAGAGACGACTCTCTGGTCATTATCATCTTAATATAATCCATACTTTGAATAATGCATTCCATGTGGCTCTCCCTCAGTCTCTGCCATCATAGGGGCAGACGTGGACTTTCCAATTCTGTGCAAACATAAATGTGCTGACGTACCATACTTTTTAATTCTTTTCATAAAAGAAAACGAACCTAAACGCACCATTGACACAAGACACAAAGTTTGTCATTTACAGCGGGGTTTGAAATGTCTCTATTATTTCTTTACAGTCATGGGTGCGTGGACATGATCTCAACTTTCAAAGCAGACACCTTGAACTTTTCGCACATACAGTATATTACTGCAAAACATGATGCAGGAATTAGGAGTAATAAATGAATATATTTCATTAACTTCACACAAATGTATTCCCTTCAAGTGAATTCAGTTTAAATGTATAAAATGCAACATCTTCATTTTCTCCATTCTCCTGATTTGAGTTTTAACTTGTCCAGATACTTTGAGGGAAACATATATAAAGGAATATTTACTGAAGTTCCCTTTTTGGACTTTTTGACATTTGGTAGTGCTAAGAGCAGTTTGCCTAATACTGACCTAAGACTCATTCGTTTGTCATGTATGCAGAGATGACTTAGTTATGTCTTAGGGTTGGTGTTACAAAATGGCTTTAAGTAATCAGAGACATTAAACACAAAGAAAGTCTAGTCGATTCATGTTTTTTCTATAAATTCAAAAGTTGTTTTCAAACGGATAAGTAGTTACTTTTTCATTCACTGCACGGACATGTTTATATTTCAACTGTGTTATATTAGAGTTGAACTATTTATTGGTATTTCATCTCAAGTTTCTTCCCCGAGTGAAAAAAAGAGAAAAAGCTTCTGTAGATAATCTCCCAGCCCTTATCTCCACTGAACCCATAAATCTCGATGGTGAAAAAAGACTTCATCTGATTGGATTTAATAACAAGCTTTGCTCTTGATAATGAAGTCAGACAGGTCTGACCTGATTACCCTGCTGAAATTAGAAATTTAATTGCATACATTTTTCAGGCCTTGGAGTCAGGGAGGCATGGCACCACAAATCTATTATCTAGATTCTCCTCCTCATAAGCTCCTCTCAGGCATGATGCCATGTGCTAACAAATGACTCCTATTTTGTGGGGAATGGCGATGAAGCTGCAAAACTGCTCCTCCATCTGGATCAGAAGGTGTAATCAGGAGGGCAGACAGCGATCTGCTGGCATCGTTTTGTACCAGGAGAAAAACGATGCCTACATCGTGATCTTAATGTACTCTATGATCTCTACGCTCAAATGGATTTTTTTTTTTTTTTTATGTAAATGATCAGGACACAGAGGTGAATCTGAGGAGACAGAAACTGCAGTTCCTGTTATATTTCTTAAAATTCTCAAGCTACTCAAATAACTTTGATGTCACAGTGTCATGGCACTCTCATCATCTTCAGCACTGATGTGATGTTTTTCTGAGTGAAACTACATTTGCTCCGGTTCATACATCCTTTCAAATGTACTGAATCACTCAAGTGTACGTAAATATATTGCAATATGG